AGTAATGTTCAAAAGTGGTTTGCACTTTTTCTCAATAAGGAAAGGTTTTCAGGGTAACAGAGAAGGAAGAGGGTACTGGGACCGAATGGCAGCATTTTCAGAGACAGTATCAGCACAATGGGCCGGATGGCTACCTTCTGTGCTGTTAAGATTTCATTGAATGGGCTTATGATGAATCGTGATTTAATTATTTACTCAGTTCCTTTTTCATTAGTTGTTTAATCAGTTGTTTCTTCCTTCAATTATTGGACAGTAATTTCACCAAAAATCGCCACTAGTATGTAAAATAACACAATTGATATAATTAATAATCAGAGCCGTATTACTTCAATAATCAGGATCCTGTTACATTAAAGTCATTTGCCGATTGAAAAAGATGAATAATCTGAATGTTTTTGCATTAATAATCAATCCAAGTATATTAATAATCTATTATTAATATCCCTGCTGCCTCTTCTTCTGCATTGATCAGCAACAGACCTTTCAGCCCAAACAGTCCATGTCAAATGTAATCCCAAGCTAAACTAGTCCCACCTGCCTGCTCTTGGCCCATATCCCTCCAAACCTTTCCTCTTCATGCACTTATCCAAATGACTTTTAAAGATTGTAATTGCACCCACATCCACCACTTCCTCAGGAAGTTCATTCCATACGTGAACCACCCTCTGTGTAAAATATTGCTTCTCATGCCTTTTCAAACCTTTCTCTGCTCACCTTAAAAATGTGTCCCCTAGTCTTGAAATCTGCCATACTAGAGAAAATACAACTACCATTAACTCTATTTATACCCTCATTACCTTATACACTTCTATAAGGTTGCCTCTCAACCTCCTACACTCCATGAGAAAAGTCCTGGCAACATTGTGGTAAATCCCTTCTGAACCCTCTCCAGCTTAATAATATCTTTCCTTTAACTGGGCAACCAGAACTGGACACAGTACTTCAGATGTGGCCTCACCAACATCCTGTACAACCTCATGCCCAACTCCTATTCTCAAAGGATTGAGCAATGAGTAGAAGCATACCAAATGACTTTTTAACCACCCTGTCTATGTGTGATGCAAACTTCAAAGAATTATGTACCTGCATCCCTAGGTCCCTCTGGTCTATAACACTGCCTCAAGCCCTACCAATAAGTGTATAAGCCCTACCCTTGATTGTTGTTCCAAAATGCAATACCTCACATTTATCCAGATTGAACTCCATCTGCCATTTTTCAGGCCATTGACCCATTTAATTAAGATCCCTTTGTAATCTTAGAAAACCTTCACTGTGTACTATGCCACCAATTTAGATGTCTTCTTCAAGTTTCTAACCGTGCTTTCTATGTTCTTGTCCAAATAATTTTTACAAATGACAAACAAATAAGGACCCTGTGGAACGCTATTAGTGCCAGGCCTGCAGTCCAAAAAGCAACCCTCCATCATGCTATCTATCTCCTACGTTAAGCCAGTTCTGTATCCAATTGGCAAGCTCACACTGAATCCCATGCAGAACCTTGTAGAAGGCTTTACTACGTCCAAGTAAACAACAACCGCTGCTCTGCCATCATGAATCGTTGTGGTAACTTCCTTAAAATACTCAATCAAGTTCGTGAGACATGATTTTCCTTGCACGAAACCATGCTGACTATGCCTTATCTCTAAATGTCCATAAATCCTGTCTTTTATAATCACCTACAATAATTTACCCACAATTGAAGTCAGATTCACAGGTCTTTTGTTCCCATGTTTCTCCTTACAAATTTTCTTCAACAAAGATACAACATTGGCTCACCTTCAGTTATCAGACACCTCACCTGTACCAAGAGATATTGCAAATATTTCAAAATGTCCTCCCTTATTTCCCACAACGTTCTGGGATACATTAGATAAGGTCCTGGAAATTTATCCACCTTTATATTCACTTAGACCTTCCTTCTTTAAACCTTGCCTGTTCTGAGGAAGATTCTGTAACTTAAAAGGTCAACAGATTTCTGCACAGGCATTCTCTTCCGAGCTGACAGTTGATTTGTTGATTTAACAATTTGAGGCGTTGAGAATAAATTGACAAGAAATATTAATGTTGATGGTTATTGACTCAGTTTCTGCACTGAAAGCTGGGAAATGTGGTTTCCTTCAGGTCCACTAGAATCAATTTAATTTCAACATTGAATATTTATCCTGGCATTACTTCTTTATTGTCCCATACTGGAAGCTCCAGTTTTCTTTAAACAAAAAAATACAAAATTCCAGTTTAATTTGCTTTTAATTAGTACTCTATAAATGTTCAGTCCGATTTGTGTCTCAGATACGCTTATTGAAAAAAGACACATATTCTAACTCAGTGTAACTAATGCTTAACAAGTTCACATTACTCCTGTCCTTTCAGAATCTATAGCCAGGATTATAAAACTTCAGAGCCCACTGGCTTTATGATCACTTCATCAATTTCTCTGCCCACTTTTAAACGTTTGTGTCTCTGAGTTTCTTGTCGGTTTTATAGATACTAATATGTCTGAGAGACATTGAGGTGTAATTTCCGATACAATGTGTATTATGGGAACAAGAAGTTTAGTCTGAGTTAGAAACACAAACAGCTACTTCCCTGCAGCCAGATCACCATGGCAACACAGATTAGACATTCCATTGCCGAGAATCATCTCATTGGAAACTCAGATCAGGTCAGGGAAAAGGACATGATTTTTCAGTGATTTACCACAATATAACATTCAATCAGAGTGAGTGTGAAAATAGATTAGGCTTCAAATGTGTGATGCTTATATCCATAATTGTGAAACTGTCAGAAATAACAGAATTAACAGCAACAGGAGAGTGTAGGGTGAATGTGAAAATTACTGAAGAAAAGTAACAGCTGTGAACCATGGAATGTGTCCTTGTAAATCACAGATAAGAGAAATTCCAGCTGTCTTTTCCTCACTTGCTACCAATTCCCAGCAGAGAAAGCAAAGAAGAGTCAAGGGCCAGAGCTGGTTGTAAGAGTAAAGGAATACTGATGTAAGGGGGCAGTTGGGACTGCAGCCACCAGAGATCAAGCTCAGGGTGCTGAGGTTCCATCCAGCAGCTGACCCTGTGTATGTTCACTCTGTTTGATGGATCCATATAAGATACAATAGAGGACAGAGAATCTGCTCAACTTTCTCAATAATGTGTGAAATTGCTGATGCTAGACAGTCGAATTTGGTGAGTAATAGGACAAGGTGTCAGTTAGAATCGTTGGGGATAGTAAGAACTGTCGATGCTGGAGTCAGAGATAACACAGTGTGGAGCTGGAGGAACACAGCAGGCCAGGCAGCATGAAAGAAGCGGGAAAGCTGACATTTTGGGTCAGGACCCTTCCTGAAACGTTAACTCTGATTTTTCCTGCACAGATGCTGCCAGAGCTGCTAAGCTTTTCCAACAACTTCTGTTTTTGTTCCTGATTTACAGCATCTGCAGTTCTTTCAGTTTTTATTTCGCCTTGCATCAGTGGTGAGCAAGTTGTTGAAGAGAATGCAGAGGGACAGGATTTACATGTCTTTGGAAAGACAAAGAATGATTATGGATAGTCAACATGGCTTTGTATGTGGAAAATTGTGTCTCACCAACTTGATTGAGTTTTTTGAAGGAGTAAGGAAGAGGGATGATGAATGCAGAGTGCTGGACGTGATCTATATGGATGTCAGTAAGGCGTTCAACAAGTTTCCTCATGGTAGACTGGTTATCAAGGCTAGATCACACAGAATACAAGGAGAACTAGCCATTCAGGTACCAAACTGGCTCAAAGGTAGAAGATTCAGAGGGTGGTTGTGCAGGGTTGCTTTTCAGACTGGAGGCCTGTGACCAACTGTGTGCCTTAAGGATTGATGCTGAGTCCACTGCTTTTCTGCATTTATATAAATGATTCGGATGTGACCTTAGGAGGTATGGTTCGTGAGTTTGCAGGTGACACCAAAATTGGAGGTGTAGTGGACAGCAAAGAAGGTAACCTCAGAGTGCAACTGGAATTTTGATCATTGAAAACGTTAAGCAGTGATCCAGTTGAGGTGTAGATTTGTTTTCAAGATATTTCATTTGCAGAGGGAGAAATTATTGACATTGTCACAATGTTTGGTCACCACAGAACACAGCTTTCAGATAATTGGCAAATAATGCAGGGTGAAAATGTGAAGATTGTTTTACTCAGCAATTTCCGAGCATTTGGAACAGTCTGAGCAGCACATGGATACAAATGCAGCAGTCATTCTCAAAATAGAATTGGAATTTAACTTTTTAAGGAAAGATATTGGCTATGGGCAAAAGGCAGGGGAGTTGTGATGGATTTACAGCGTTTCTCGAGTGGTCGAGTACAGCCCCAGTGGGCTGAATGGCCACTAGCCCCCTGCGCTCTGTGACACTGCACCATTCACTGAATTATAAATCTCATCCCAGGGGTAAGAAAGAGGGAGGATCCTATCACAACGTCACAACGAAAACCCGACTGATTGACGGCATATCACTGACCAATAGGTGAAGGGTGGGCGGGATTGGCTGCTCAAGCGGGACCTGCTGGTCATCCAACCAATAGGGGATGATGAGGGGCGGGGCGAGCAGGACCACACGTGATCATTAACGCCGATGGCACGGTGTCGCAATGACTGATGCCTGAGTGAGTGCGAAATGAGAAGGGTGGGGAGAAACAGCGGAGACCGGTCGAAAAATGGAGTCACTGCGGACTCGGAGGTTTTACGAGCACACGGTGTAGATTGCCAAACCCAAATTAGAAACTCTCGGTGCCGCATTTATAGCAAACGGGAAAACGGCTGCGGGCCTCACGTGGTGATCGGCCTCGGGCTTCTGCCGCCATCTTTATTGGGGGCAAGGTGCAGCAGCGCGCATGTGTCTGTTCCATTCTGGTTGAGGGCGGGGCCGTTTGAAGTGGAGTATTTACATAGCAACCTGAAACCGAGAGAAATGTTTGTCTTTTCTCGATTTTCATCCTGGACTGACAGCGATTTTTCTCTTGTGCACTCATTTTACAGGATATTAATTAAGAATAATTTGCAGACTGGAATATCAAAAACGTTCTGGTAGTCAGAGGAGTCATCAGGATCTGAATATCATTGGCATTTAACTGTCGAAAGAAAAAGGTTTGTCTGTGTGAAAATATCTCCGATATATTTGTAACTCGAAAAACAGCAAGATGTTCAATAACAGAAGTTGCTGGAAAAGCTCAGCAAGTCTTGCAGCATCTATGAAGAAAAATCAGAGTTAACGTTTCCGGTCGGGTGAGTTCTGAGGAAGGGTTACTGGACCCGAAATGTTAACTCTGATTTTTCTTCACTGATGCTGCCAGACCTACTGAGCTTTTCCAGTAACTTCTGTTTTTGTTCCTGATTTACAGCATTTGCAGTTCTTTCAGTTTTTATTTAGGAAGGTGTTCAAATTCGTGGTTAGATCACCCCTGGGTTATGTGCTCGGTTCTGGGGCCTGCAGCTGGGGAAGGAGGGTCTGAGAGGGTCACAGAATGATCCAATTACACTTTGTCTGTTTGAAACAACTGTCATATTTCGCCCCAGTCACCCACTTCATGGCTTAACCTGTAAATTCCTCATTCTCAAATACCTGCAAACTTCCTTTTAAAATTCCTTATGGACTAGTACCCTTTTCATGTGGAATGTTCCAGATCCTGACAACTCTCTGTTGATCCTGAACCCGTTTGAAGCCCATGTTGAGTCTGGAGCGTTATAAAAGGCTGAACTGAAAGATGAGATGCTGTTCCTTGAGCTCCCGCTGAGCTGAATTGGAACAGTAGAGGAGGCTGACGTCAATGTATGTGTGGGCAGACAGTTAAAATAACAAGGCCGCACTGTGAGTGCACCTTGGCTCAGTGAGAGTGCATTGGAGTTGGGTGAAAACAGAGAGTGAGGTGAGACATGGAGAAGCTGAAGCAGAAAGATTGAGTGTGGTGCTCAGTCTTAGTTTGCAGTTCAGAAAGTGATACAGTCCCAATGGGAACAGCCAATTAATAAGTATACCTGCAGAAGATTTTCTTACAGTTTTCAAGCTTAATATATCAGCTCCTGTAAAGGCAGTGGTTTTCGATTATAACAGAAATGTTTGAAATAAAGTAAGATCCTTAGCTCAATTAAATTCTGTTGAAAGAAGTAACTCTGTTAATTTACAAAGAAGTCATGACAGGAGACCTGAGACCGTTGGCATGTTCCTCTTGCACAATGTGGGAATAGAGGGAAGCTTCTGGTGTCGCTGACCACGACATGTGCAGGAAGTATGTCTATCTGCAGCTACTGGTTAACCGCTTTTTGGAGCCAGAGCTATGGTCGGATTCACTGTCAAGCATCCGTTGCACTGAGAATGTCGTGGACAGCACATTTAGTGAGTTGGTCACGCCGCACATGACCATTATGCAGGCAGAAAGGGAATGAGTGACCTTCAGATAAAGAAAAGGCTCAGGAAGGAAGTGCTGGAGTCCCCAGGGGCCATGCCCCCCCTCAAGCAGATTTACCATTTTTGATATTGTTTGGGGTGGCCTTGGTGGTGAGGAGTCAGCAACAGTCAAGTTCATGGCACCATGGGTGGCTCAGCTGCACAGAAGGGGAGGAAAACAAGTGCCAGGGCTATAGTGATGGGGGAATTCAATAATCAGGGATACAGACAGGCACTTCTGTGACCGTAGACATGTATCCAGAATGGTATGTGATCTCCTGGTGCCAGAATCAGGGATATCATGGAGTGGCTGCAGGACATACTAGAACTGGAGGGTGAATAGCCAATGGTCGTGGAACACATAGGCACCAATGGCATAGCTAAGCAAAAGGATGAGGGCTTGAAAACTGAATACAGGAAGATAGAAGAGACATTATTACATTTGAAGTCCTGTATTTTAATGTTAGACTTATTCCCAATGTCACATGCTAGCAAGAGCAGGAATATGAGGATAAATCAGATGAATATGTGGCTGAAGAAATGGTGTACCAGAGAACAGTTTAGATTCTTGAGGCATTGAGACCATTTCTGTGGGCGTTGGGACCTGTACAAGCCTGGGCAGAGCTGGGACAAACCTCCTCATTGACCTTGTACTAGTTTCTTGGGTGAGGTTTTCCAACAAGTATGGCAGAGGAATGGGAAACAAAGTGTAGGCTTTGATGGGTCGGATTCAGATCAGGAAATAGGAGGTAGAATATTACTAGTGATGCATTCAGCAGCTCCGAGAGACAAAAGAAAGGACCTTGAGTAGATTTGTAGCTCGGTTTGTGGATATTGTGCTTGGTTCGTTAGTTTGCAAATGTTTCATTACCCTGCTGGATAACATCATCAGTGCAGCCTCTGATGAAGCATTGTTGTATTTTCTCGCATGTTATTTAAACTCTGGTGTCCATTGGAGTTGATTACCTCATTTCCGGTTTATCTTTGCTGTGGTGTGTATATAGGGTCTTGTTTATTGATGGCCTTCTTGGTGGAGAACCAGGCCTCTAGTAATTCCCGTGCTTGTCTCTGCTTGGCTTGTCCTAGCATCCTGACATTGTTCCAATTGAACTGGTGATTCACCTGTCTGTGTGTATGGACACGGGTCAGTATTGGTCTGTCTTTTCGTTGCTAGTTGGTATTCATGTATTCTCGTAGCCAGTTTCCTTCCTGATCTATCCAATGTAATATTTGTCACAGTCCTTGCATGGAATTTAATATATTACATTTGTTCTGTCCATAATAGGTAAGGGGTCTTTGGTTCTTGTGAGCAGTTGACGTGGGTTTGTGTGCTACTCTGATGCCCAGTGGCCATAGGAGTCTTGTGGTCGGTTCAGATATGTTCTTGAGGTACAGTAACATGATGAGTGTGTCAGGGCATACTGTATCTTCCTGTTGTTGCTTGTGTGACAGCCATCATTGGATCCAGCTGTTCGGGTATCCGTTGTCTCCAAATACTTAGTGGAGATATTCTTCTTCATTTTGGCTTAATTCTAGGTTGCTGCGGTGTGTTGTGGTTCATTTGAACGGTGTTTTTACGCAACTCCATTTGTGGGTGTTGGGGTACTTACTGTTGAAATTTAGGACTTTGTCTGTGTGTGGCCTTTCTGTGTACTTTGTCAGAAATTCCCCATTGGCCCTGCGTTCTGCCATCACATCCAGGAATGGGAGCTGTTTGTTTTTTTCTTCTTCTCTGGTGAATTTGATCCCAGTAAAAATGTTGTTTATAAGTTGGTATGTTTTGTCCAGTTTAGTCTGTTTGATGATGACGAAAGTATTGTCCACGTATCGGATCCATAGCTTGGGTTGGATCTTCGGAAGGGCCATGCTTTTGAGTCTCTGCATCACTGCTTCTGCTATTAGTCCAGAGATGGGTGACCCCATAGGTGTCCCATTGATTTGTTCATAGATCTGGCCATTAAAGGTAAAGTGGGTCGTGAGGCATAGGTCCAGTAATTTCAGTGTGTTGTCTGTGGAGATGGTGTTCTCAGTCCAGTTCTCTCAGTAGTGTTGCTAGTGTTTCTCTTGCTAGTGGTATGTCAATCGATGTGAATAGGACGGTAATGTCAAAGGACACCATGGTTTTGTCCTCGTCTATTCTTATGTCTTTGACGGTTTTGAGGAACTCCTAGGCTAAGTGGATTGAATTGTAGACGAGGTGCTTTAGTCTTCATTGTAATTCCTTGGCTAACCTGTGTGTTGGTGTGCCTGGGAGGGAGACTATGGGTCTGGGGGTTACTTCCAGTTTGTATACCTTTGGGAGGCCATAGAATCGGGGGATGTTTGTCCCTTCATTTTTACGTAGTCTGCTTTGTTGATTTGTCCAGTCTGTTTGAGTCTCTTTAGCATGTAGATGATTTTATTTCCAGTTGTGGTGTCAGGCTTGTTTCTACGTGTCAGTATGTATTAGTGTCTGCTAATAGAGTCTGTGCTTTAGTAATGTAGTCTCATTTTTAAGAATTACTGTCATGCGTCCTTCGTCCGCTGGTAGGATTATGATGTTTCTGTCTTTTCTCAGTCCTTTCAGGGCCTTCCTTTCTGTTGTGTTGAGAGTGTTAAGTTCGTTCCTTCGGTCAGTTTTAGGACCACTGTCTGTCTTATGGCTTGTTGTGTTTCCTCATTGCCGTTGGTCTTCAGTGTGCATTCTAGTGTGGCTAGGAATTATGTCTTGTTAGCGTCTCTGTGGTAGTAATTGAGTCCATGTATTAGTACAGCTTTCTCTGTGTCTGTTAGTTTTCTTTCAGATAGCTTTCTTATCCAAGTGTCTGATCTATGGCTGTCATTTTGGTTGGTTAGTTTGGCTAGTTTTTCTTGGTTTTGGTTTTGGTTTTTTTGTTCACTGACGTTAATGGCTCATTCGAAGTCTGTTGTCCACTGTGGGTTGATTGCATCTAGGTATAGGGATTTTTGGCACATAACTTCCCTGTCATGTCTGTGGATTCGGTTGTGGGTGTCATTAATCATTACCTTCACCATTCTGCGGCCATTGTGCTCTGCTGTCCTATGTGCCTGTGGGTTGTTGATGGGAGGTTTGCACCTAACACTGCCCTGTCGTACCTGGTTCCTGAGGCATCTGTGGAGGAAGCAGAGTTGCTCACGGGTGGTGCTCTGTTGTTGGCGTAGGTTTCCTATTTCTGGGTTCTCCACCAAGAAGGCCATCAAAAAACACATAGAATTAGACCATGTATACACATCACTGCAAAGAAAAACTGTCAATGAGGTAATCAACTCCAACGCACCCCAGAGTTTAAATAACAAGCGGGAAAATACAACAATGCTTCATTGGAGACTGCACTAATGATGTTACCCAGCAGGGTAATGAAACGTATGCAAACTAACAAACCAGCTCGGCGAGCGAACCAACCGCAACAAAAGAAAGGAGGATTAAGTGAGGATAGATTCTCTTTTCATACATCAGTCCTGACATCCCAGGAATCAGTTTGGTGAACCTTCTTTACACTCTCTCAAGAGTCAGGACATCCTTCCTTGGGAAAGGGGAACACAGGTGCACACGATATCAAGGTTTGGTCTCACCAGTACCCTTACAGAAAAGTATTCCTGCTCTTGTACTTGAATCCTCTCACTATGAAGACCAACGTATCATTTCCATTCTTGACTGCTTGCTGCTCCTGCCTATTTACTAAAAGGAAGAGTCACACAGAAAGACAGAACAAAATGCAGTCAGAGTCTTGGATGTAAAATTGTTGAACACCATATCCCCATTGTATCCATGCTGGTCATCAAGCAGTTATTTACTGTAGTCCCATTTTCCAGCACTCAGCATGTAACCTACATTGTGGTGCCTTGTGTGATCATCTAAACATTTCTTCAAAGTTGCAATGCTTCATTCATCTGTTACCATTTCAGATGCTGCCAGACCTGCTGAATGTCTCCAGCATTTTCTGATTTGATCTTGTATTTCCACCATTTTGCTGAAGCACTTAGTATCATAGATTTATACAGCATGCAAACAGACCCTTTGGTCCAACTCATTCATGCCGATCAGATATGCTAAACTGATCTAATTCCTTTTGCCAGCAGTTGGCTCATATCCCTCTGAACACTTTGTGTTCTTGTACCCAACTAGATAGTTTTTAGTTGTTGTAATTTGTACCTGTCTCCACTGCCTCCTCAGGTAGCCTGTTTCATACACGCACCATCCTCTGTGTGAAAAGATTGCCCCTCAGGTCCTTTTTAAGTCTTTCCCCTCCCAACTTAAACCTATGCCCACTAGTTTTGAACTCCCCTACCCTGGGGAAAAAGATCTTGGCTGTTCCCCCTATCCGTATTCCTCATGATTTTATAAACCTCCATAAGGTAACTCCCCAGCCTCCGACATGCCAGAGAAGAAAAAGCCTCAGCCTATTCAGCCCATCCCTATAGCTCAATTCTACAATCCCAGCAACAATTTGGTAAATCTTTTCTGAACGCTTTCAAGTTTAACATCTTTCCTACAGCAGGGAGACCAGAACTGAATGCAGTCTTCCAAAATTGGCCTAACCAATGTCTAATACAGCCACAATATGACCTCGCAACTCCTATACTTGTTGCAATGAAATATGTTCTTCACCACATTATTTACCTGAAACTCCCCTTTCAAGGAACCATGCACTTGTTCTTACCCTTCAATCTCTCTGAAAGGCTATGGGGAGAAAGCAGGAACAGGTTTGAGTTGTAGATTATAAAATGCCTCTGCTTCACATCTGCCTCTCCCACCTGTATCTCTTTCCGTAGTTTTGAGCAAACACTGATTGGTTCCCTTTGCTGAAGGAGATTTACAAACCAGTTTGATTTTAATCACAATCCAGTATTTTCCCTCCGTGTCATCTCCACAACTGACCAGATTAATTGCTGTCGGTTTCACAATCTATGTGTTCTCGTTTTTCCTAATACATTTGATTTGTGTTTGAAAGATTGATTTGCAATTAGAGCCTTCAAATGAAACCACATCCAGATCTGACAGTCACTGTGTTTATCGTAACCTAATTATCTCAGGATTTTGAACATTGAAGGAAAAAGCACCGTTCACAGTGGGAGAAACACATGTCATCTGTGTTCGGAAGAGTCTGTGGAGATTCCTCTGAAATGTCCAAACGCCAGCTCGGTCACATGAGGGAGAGAATGTGGAAATGTGGGGATTGTGGGAAGGAATGTCTTTCCCCATCCAAGCTGGAAATTCACCAACGCACTCACACTGGGGAGAAGCCATTCACCTGCTCTGATTGTGGAAAGGGATTTGCTCGGTCATCCAACCTGCTAAGGCATGAGCGAGGTCACACTGGGGAGAGACCATTCACTTGTTCCCAGTGTGGGAAGGGATTCAGTGAGTCATCCAGCCTGCGGATACACCAACGCAGTCACACTGGGGAGAGACCATTTATCTGCTCTGATTGTGGGATGGGATTTACTCAGGCATCCAGTCTGCAGATACACCAGCGAGTTCACACTGGGGAGAGACCGTTCACCTGCTCTGATTGCGGGAAGGGATTCAGTCAGTTATCCAAACTGCAGACACACAAGCGAATTCATAGGAGAGAGAGACCATTCACCTGTTCTCATTGTGGGAAAGGATTCACTCAGTCATCTAATCTACTGGAACATCAGCGAGTTCACACTGGTGAGAGACCATTCACCTGCCCTGCTTGTGGGAAAGGATTCGCTCGGTCATACAGCCTGCTGTTACACCATCGAGTTCACACTGGGGAGAGACCATTCACCTGCTTGGAGTGTGGGAAAGGATTTGCTCGGTCATCCAGCCTGCTGGAACACCAGCGAATTCACACTGGGGAGAGACCGTTCACCTGCTCTGCTTGTGGGGAAGGATTCACTCTCTCATCTAAACTACTGGAACATCAGCATGTTCACACTGGAAGAAGACGATTCACCTGCTCTGCTTGCGGGAAAGGATTCACTTGGTCATCCAGCCTGCTGCAACACCAGCGAGTTCACACTGGAGAGAGACCATTCAGCTGTTCTGAATGTGGAAAAGCATTCAATCGTTCATCCAACTTGCTGAGACACCAGCGAGCTCACACTGTGGAGAAACATTCACTCAGTTAACTTGCCTGCTGGTACAGCAGCCTTTTAACTCTGTAGAGAGACTGTTCACTTGTTCTGTGTGTGGGAAGGGATTTCAAACTTAACACACGAGTGAAATGACACCCATTGGATCCCATTCACCTGCCATGTTTGTGTTTGCTAACGCACCAGCAAATTCACAAAGAACTACAGGTGAAAGGTTTTGCTTTTACTTACACCAAGGAAGGAACCCCTAGTCATTGGGCTATCTGAACTGATGTTTTTAAACCCTGCTCTATTAAAAGGGCTGATATTGTCGATAAAACGTTGATACAATTGTGTATCTGCAGGATAGTATTTGAAAATAATCACAATGTGACTGTACATCAACATGTTTACATTGGGTAAAGACTGTCCACCTGTATATTGTTTGTAAAGTGATTTTGAGGTTCATCAGGATTGATTAAACAACAACGAGTTCCCCAGTAACTGTCAGCGTTGGATTTTGATGCTATTGTTATCCAAATCCAAACCATCCCTTCTTGCCCTATTTCTGATGATGTTTGTAAACAACACAGGTTCAGTTACCTGTTTGGGATAAAAGTAATACAAATCTAAAACTAAATTGCATCAAGTCTTTTTCTTACCTCTTAAGGCACTCAGAATGAGACAATTAGTACCCTTCACGTGCAGTTGAGAGAAGGCACATCCAGAGTGAGATATAGCATGAAATGCTGGAAATATCATTACAAGTGCTACTGGGGTGTGTGCAACTTAACTTGGCAAGGAGATGGGATCCTGAGAGAATATCCAAAGGGTAGGAAGAAAAGACAAGAATCAGCAAATGAGTAAGGAAGGCATTGACATTACAGGCCAGTTCAGCTACAAGGGAGTTTGACATGGTTGCATGGCATTGATATTAATGCTACGAGAGTTGAGGATACAAATTAAAAATGGGGTATGATAACATTGCTGTCACTGAGACATGGTTGAGAGAGAGGCAGGATTTGGAAGCTCAATACTCCAGGATACAAGGTCTTCATGCAAGACAGTGAAGGAGGCAAAGAAAAGGAGGTGTCACAATAATGTTTAGGGAATTTAGTACAACACTAAGGAGAGATAACATCTTGGAAAACTCCTTAAATAAACCCTTATGGATAGAATAAGGAGAGCTGGCCAGGAGGAAACTATAAGGTAAGTGTAACAATAATAGTGTCGTGATAGTGGGGGATTTCACCTTCCCCAACATTAACTGTGGTTGTCATAGTGTGAAAAGTATAGAGGAATTTTTAAAATAGATCCAGTCCAACTTTTGAAGCCAGGATGTAAAAGTCACAACAAGGAAGAGGAAAGTCCTAGACTTAACCTTAGGTAACAAAGGCAGACAAGTGGTTGAAGTATCAGTGGGGGAGTATTTTGCAGATGGTTATAAAGAATCAGGATTGTTATGGAAAAGGACAAGGACGAGCCTCAAATCAAAGCACTAAATTGGTTGATTTTAATAAGACCAGATGTGATTTGGCCAGAGTGCGCAGGGAGCAGATAATTTCAGGTAAATGTGCAAGAGGGAACTTAAATGGAGAGATAAGGAGCGCTGCAAGGGGAACATGAATTGATATAGCCAGGTAAAATAAAGGAAAATGCTCATTTCCTTTTACAGGTGCATTAGTGGGTAAAGGATAACAGTGGAAAGAGAATTCAGTGGGCCTCACTATCACATATTTCCCCCTGATTCATCTCCCTCACTAGTGAAACTGACACAGAGTATTCATTTAGAACCAAGTCTACATCCTCTGGTTCTACACATAGATTACTGCTGTGGTCCTTAAAGAAATTAGAATCGAGAGAGAGAAGGTTTTACATCATCTGGCAGGCTTAAATGTGGATAAACCTCCAGAGTCAGGTGAAACATATCCTATATCATTGGGACAATAAGTTGTTGGGATGAAATAGCAGGGGCACTTGCAAAAATTTTCAGTCCATGTTAGAGCTGCCCATGGTTGCTGACAGTAACAGTTACTGACAAGGTTGCTGAATGTGCATAAGATATAGATGATAGCATTTAACATTTGAGTAACAATGGTGCCTCTGTAAGACATAGATGATAGCATTTAACATTTGATTCAGCAAACGCATAAGAAATAGATGATAATATAGTCTTAATAGCAACTCCGTAAGATATAGATAATAACATTCAACATTTGACTTGGAATAAGACGTGTCGCGCAAACTCGTTATTTAACCAATAATTCTAGATATAGATTCTGAATTAGTTATCAAAAGGAGGAGATGCAGACCAGACCATGAATAGGTAACAATTAGTCCAGTGAATGCAGTATGAAAGCTGCGCCCCCCCACCCCCTCTCTCTCTGTCTCACACATGAACATTTTCGAACTTCCTTCCTATCTCGGTTTACAAGAAGGAATGTAGACAGAGCTTAGCAGACATTGGAATGTGGATCGATTGAACACATTTAAGACAAAACTTGTTAGCTGAAGAATTCTAACATTGGGTATAACTACATAACTTTGGAACTGATCAAAAATCAATATTCTTCTGTATTTCCTGTAATGAGAAATTTGCAAGGTCCTGAAATCTAATTAATTGGCAGCTAACGTGGTGCAGCTGGCAAATGTTACTTGAATACAGTATCCATTGTGAAAAGCCTTAGAAGGGAGATAAGAATTTGGAAAATATTATGAAGGACTGGGGTGGACCACAAGCCTGTCCATCTCTGTGATTAGCAAGCTTGAACTGTGTTAAGATGCTGTACCCAAGAGCCAATTACAGAGGAACATCTTGGCGCCACTGACCAATAGTAATCAAGGGGTGGGGGTGGATGTGCACTCTAAGTTTAACTTGTGAAGTTAGGACATTCTGAAGCTTTGTGTGTGCTTTTCTGCTGTAACTGAGCTGTAAATCACAAATAAATGTCACCTGATTCCACCCTGCAACCCAGACTTTCATTGAAACATGAGATCTAACAACTTGGTGTAGTCTGGCAGGATCGCTGAAGGAACTGTAGAAGGAACCTCTCTGTAGAATTGAGATGATCTCTGCGCCCATGAAAGTCCAAGGTCAGTTATCTAAACTTGGTGGTCTCTGCCTTCACATGATTCTGAATTCCGGTGGGGTAGGGAGATTTGAGGTCCCTGAAATCAGGCTTCTGCATACAGTGGAGCCGAGGTAATAGTCTCCGACCAAGGCTAATTAAGCTCGACTTGAGACCCATAATTATCCCAGTGGTGGTTGATCAGAATGCAGAACTGCCAAGGATGGGCTGGCCCCACCTGACATATCAGGAGATGAAATTCCACTGATACTAAAGGAATATATAGAGCAACAGTTCAGCTAACCTAAAACCTCTGTGAAGATCAGGCAAAAGTACGATAGCTACAAGGGACAATGGTCCCTGAATGATATTAAAAGGGTCTAGGGAGAAACAACCTGTATGAAAGAGAAAGATCAAGTAAGGTGGTCCCTTGCTCTGATAGGACAGGTCTGACAGCGAAACAAAATTATAAAACACTCTCAATATGAATGAGATTTAACCAGCATTAATGAGCAATTAAAAGTGGTGTGTGAAGAATTAACAGGGGCTAAAAAATAAAGCACAGGAATCTAGAAGAAAGTGTAAGGAGTTAGAATCAGAAAATGAGAAACTCCAGAAACAAGTATCTAAAGACCCTATCAAGCGCCTGAGCCCAAAGGGAAGAGTGCCAAATCCTGGTCTGGATAACCCTGTTTAAACCAATTGGCCAAGGACCAATGGAGGGCATAAAGGAGGGAGGCCAATTTAGACAGATTCTGGTGACTCAGAAGAAGGAACCAAATTACAACTTGCTGTCTTGAGAAGTAAATGGGCAAAAGTTAAAACAGAGGAGAGAGACAACAGGGATAATGGAGGCACCACCATCACTTACATTTCTAGAAAATGTTACTACCGTATGCCTGCGGACCCTGTAACAATAGATAAGCGGTCGAAAGAGATACCCAACCCTAAAAAAGAGGGAATGAAAATTTGGGAGCAACTGGAACAGCTGAGGATTATTTACAATCTGCAAACGATAGATGGGGTCCAGATATTGTCAGTGCTGATGACTCTTAGCGAAGGAAAAAGATTGAGTAGGAGAGTGTACGAAGATTGGGCGAGGATGAGCAAAATTTGAACAGGGGCTGGGCAGCAATACAGAATTGGTTGTGAAATGTTTGTCCACCAAAGATGGATTGGACAAAGGTGATGGTATGAACACAAAAAAAAGAGTGAGGATGCACTTGTTTATTTTGAAAGGTTTAATGTGGCATGTTCAGATCACTCTGGATTTGATATTAGGGAACGCAATGACCTGGATGACAGTAGTGTGAGACCTCTAAAGGCTGCCTTTGTGGCAGGACTGAAGTAGGAACTAGCTAAAATGTTGAAAGTAGCCCATCATGACTGGATGGACGATTTAATGACAGTTGGAAATCTGGACCATCGGTGCCTTAGGCTGGACAGGGACATGGGTGATAAGGTGAGAGCAATGCAAGTCACAGGTGGTAAACCAAGTGAGAATCAATGTCAGGAAAGTTCTCCCACCTCCACCCAAACCCCCACACACTGAAAAATGCCACTATTGCAGCAAGGAGGTCATCGGACAAGAACTTGTAGGGGTCAGTGACAAGACCACCGAGATGGTGCGCAAGACAGTTCTAAACCAGGATCAAACCCCTCCCCATAATAATTGTTGATAGACAGCATCAAGAATATGACTGTGGAACAACAGAAGGAAATGTTGAATAAAAGAAAAGAATTAGAGGAGCCTGCCCTTTCCCTTACCGTACCCCTGATGTCTCTCGTACAACAGTGAGGGGAAGGCATTTACATCCTTTTCAGGTTGGGCAATCAAGAAATAATCTGTCTTTTGGATACTGGAGCAGAATTGGCCTGTATCCCTCTTTATTATGGACAATAGCTACCCTTAAACAGGAAAACACTAACAGCACATGGAGCAGGAAGCGAAGGTCGTACTATTAAAAGAATATATCTGGTGCCCTTTGAATTGGGCCTGCATGAATTAACGACCTCGGTCTGGGTAGGATCAGTGGAACAAGCTGTTTTGGGAATGGACATTTCTGACCCAGGTAAGCACCTCCTTGCACTTTGGGGATGGTAAAGTTACCTGGTCCACAAGATGCATGAAAAAGGAAGAGTCAAGAGACCACCCAATCTGGGCAAAGGAGAAGAACGATTGCAGCTTGCTCCAAATGGAACTGGCATCATTCACCGGGAGTCACCCCTCCATGCACCAAATAATACTCCATTAACCCAGCCTCAATCACTGGGATCTTGCCCATCATACGACAAGTGGAAAAAAAGGCATATTTGTAAAAACACACAGCTCCTCCAACAGCCTCATACGGCCAGTGAGGAAACCTGACATGACTTGGTGCCTGACCATCAACAGAAAGGCCAACCAATGCATTGATCAGAAAGTTCTTTGGTCACTGGTCCTGCCAGTATTTTTAATGCCCATACACTGGAACATAAATACATCTCAGTGATAGACATGGCCAATGGATTCTGGTTGGTAGCCTTGGCACCTGAAGTCCAACAGTGGTTTGCCTTCACCATCCAGC